TTTTACTTTGCATTTGATTTTATGTTACCTTACTTAACAGATACCGTATAACCCATAATCTGTGTGTCTGATTTATTTCAATTAACATTATACAATATTTCCCACATGCACCCATTTATCCTTTCTTACAGCCAAGTATGGCAGTATCCCATTATGTATAGACACCGTATTTTCTTTACCTACAGTTTTTACATTCAAAAACTATTTCCTCAACTCTCTGACTCTTATTCTTCTTGATTTTCAGAAATATGTGTACTTTTTCACTTAGTAGCACCTAATAATTCTTGAATACTTTGCATCAAAAATTGTTTCACTCATTTCTCTGTTATATTTTAGATTGGATAATTTTTTATTTATCTTGTACTAGCTATGTACAAACTACTATTAAATACAAGAGTGATTTATGCTCAAAATTATGGCTTTTTTAAAAGCCTCAAAGCATGTACTTTAAAATAATTCCATCCTTAAACATACCAATAATAGTTCATTTAAAGCACCTATGGAATAATTCTAAATTGTAGGAAATTCTTGATGTTTATTTTGGTAACTATCTTCTACATGCAAATGATTTTCTTTTATTGCTTTTTTGTTTCACACACAAACTCATATATGCATACCTGTCTAACACTAGAATACTGAGGAATGGGGAAATGTAACACGAGACAACATTGGCAACAAAATTTCCAGTGCATTCAAGAAAATCAAGAATTTTAATATAGGTGGATTTGAGTGCTAGAAGGAGCACAATAAAACCAGAGATTCAGTGTGAGCCATGTTACTTTAAGATTTACAGTCATCATTATGACTTTGTCTTCTATTGTCCAACAAATGATAGGATGCTGCAGAGAGTTTTGTGTTTGAACTAATTATCAGGCAAAGAAATCACTTGGCTACACACACTCAAATATGAAGAGAAGACTGGAATAAAATGTCATTCAGGGAAAAATGGTTCTGAGATATTACAAAGAGGGCCTCTCTTTGGATTCAAGAGTAGAAAAGCACAATTTACTATGTTCCTAGATATTCAAAAGCCACACAGCATAGAGTTTCCATAGTAAAGGGTTCATTCCAACTTAGATCCCCCCAAAACCCATTTTACACTTTGAGTTATGGTTTTAAAAGTTTGTGAAAGCTCTCCTTGCTTCCAGACTCCAGAGGGAAAACAAATGATGAATCCTTACAAGGAATGAAATTCCTTCATTTGAAGCAGTTTTAAGAACGGGACAGAGGTTGTGGTCAGAAGGGACACGGTGACATGCTATAGGTCATTGGCCCTGCCATAAATCCTCAGATGGCTACTATGAAGCATTTGGAGAATTTGAAAGTCAAATCTGGACATTCATGCTTTTTTGGAGATTAATGCATTAAATTAACAAGAACATTACAAAAAAGTTAATTTGTAAATTTTATATTTTTTTATTTTGTATTTTTTCATTTTATTATTATATATTTGCAGCACGTGCTTTGCATTCATTTTGGGGAGAGGTACATATACATAAGAGAGCTAGTTTCTTTTTTTAATCTGATTGCTCCCTTCCCTCCTCTAAATCCCCTTTACTTCTTCTTTCCTGTTGATATTATTAATCTTAGCTTATGATGAAGTCACATAATGTTTATATGCATTGATGTCATTAGGTTCGTATACGTGGCATATCTTAATTCTACTTGCTTCCCTTTTCTCTCCTTATCTTAAAGCTGGAAAAGAGAATTTGTTCCTTCATATATTTTGCAACATTTATTACTTTTTCCCTGTGATCTCAGCCATTTATTATTTGACTTGTTGGTTATTGGCATTCTTTCTAGAGTAAGATGGAATATCAGCATCATTTTAATTTGCATTTCCTTAAGGGACAGAGATGGTGAACATTTTTTAGTATATTTAGTAGCCATTTGTACTTTTTCTGAATAGTGATTAGTACTGGAGTTTAGAATTAAATACACCCCTAAAGTTTAATGTGTTTGGAGGTGATACTTTTGCAAGTTGATTATTTCACTGGGGAGTTACATTCATCTTTGGATTATCTATTGATGAGTCTTAGCTAAATGTGGTGTTAGGTGGTAAGATACTGTGGGAGGAGTTAGATCATTGGAGACAAGCCGTAGGGTGCATATTTCTCACTCTGGCTTCTGTCTCTCCCCTTCTGTCTTGTGGATCTCTGTCTCTGTCTTTGTCTCTGTCTTTGTCTCTGTCTCTGTGTCTCTGTCTCTGTCTCTGTCTGTCTGTCTGTCTCTCTCTCTCTCGCTGCTTATTGGCTGTCATATGTTGATATTTTGAGCAGTTTTCCTCTTTCAGGCCCTCTGCTGTGCTGTTTCTGTCTTGAGACCAACAGTGCACTGATAGAACTCTCTGAAAGACAGACAAAAGATTTCCTCTTTACATTGTTGGGGGAGATATTTTGTCCAGGTAATGGGGAAGTGATCAGCATGTTCCTTCTAATGTACATTCTGTTTACCATATTGATCTGTTTTGTGGTTTCCATTTCTTTCCTATGTTGGGCATTCATAGTTTCCATCAAAACCTGATATTAATGAAAAATGTCAAAAATTTAATGAGTCTTTCTGTATCTGATGCTATGCAATAAAATATATAAATAAAATATTATATGTGCAATAAAATCTAATAGTAGTTATCTGTAAGAGATTTAAAGCATATACTGTGGCCTTACTTTCTGTTAAGTCCATTAGAAATGTTTGTATTATATAAAATAACATACAATAACTTCAGTAAAGTATTAAAATTTATGGTTTTACTTAAGAAAGTAAAATGCATTTCCACCATACAAGATGGTAGGAGTTCAGCAATGGATCTTATACTGCATATTGTTGTTTTCAGATCAGTCATTCTGATTGCCAAATTCAAGTGTGCAAAATTGGTCAGGAAAAAAGAAAATTTTAAGCACTGACTATTCCTTTCAATAAAGCACAGACACACTGTTTTTTGGGGTTTATTGTTTTAACTTGTTACTGTCTTTAATTGTTTGACCAGTCTTACATTTTTATGTCTGGTGGACTGAGCAACTTCTTTGAAGATAACAGTATGTAATGTAGCAACCTCTGTTAATTCCTATCATTTTGTTTTGAGGTCATGAATCATTTCTGCTGTTTTGATTTTGTCTTCATTGTTGTTTTTTCAGTTTTTCAATTAAAAAAAATAAAATGTATTTCAAAAAAGTTATAGTTTTAGACTCAGTAGAACAACTTGATTTAAATTCTTGTCTTAATACATTTAGAAAAATCAAGGACTAAATACATCTAGGACTGGAACGAATGTAGCAATGTTTTTATTTAGGTATTCAATGTCTGAAATAGGTACACACCTAATAGGCTTTTCTATATCTTTTTATGTCAGTTTTGTTAAGTAGTATTTTCAATGAATTTTTGATACTATATTTAGATACTTTATGTAAGAATTTGTGTGGTTCTTTTTACATTTTTCATATGATCTATACTGAATTTTCCTTTTTAATGTCAGTAGTGGCTGTTTTTTCTTTAATTAGGTTTTGCTAGGTTCACAAATGTAAAGACATATTCTTTTCAAAGAAGCTATGCTTGTATTTCTTAAAACTTAGTATGTTAAAGGTTTTTTCTATTTTATTAATTTCAGTTATAAATAAAAGTCCTGTCATATGGTTAATTTTTTTATTTTATTTTTTTAAAGAGAATAGTAAATGGAAGTTTGATCAAGCCATTAAAGGGAGTAAGAAAATAATAATTTAAAAGAACACTAGAGACAATGCATAGTTTCACTAGACAGGATTGTAGGAATTCACCAAAGGTTGTTGTACTGCAAATTGTTGTCTTCACATAAATTGCTCAGATTACCAGCTATAATCATGAAAAATTGGTCAAAATATATAGAAAAAAATTTAAGCATTAACTGTTCCCCTCAATAAACCACCAGACATCAGCACTACAGTTATACCAGCTATATATATATATATATATATATATATATATATATATATATTACACTTTAGTACTTTCTTTTTCTTCTTTCCCTCATCTCAGTTGTTCCTTCCTTTGAGCAATTTCTTTCCCTTTCCATTTCCTATTATCTATCTATTCTTTTGGCACTGGGAATCAAACTCAGGACCTGGCACTTGCCAAGCAAGCACTTATGCCATTGAGCTATATCCCCAGCCCACATTAATTACTGAAATATTATCTATTTGGGTTTAATTTACTCTGTCATGTTCTTACACTAGGGAGAAAATATGATGTTTACACATGTGGGTCCGATTTATTTCACTTATGAGTATGGTCTCTAGTTGCATCCATCTACCTATAAAAGCCTCAAGTCTTTTTCATAGCTGAGTAATACTCCATTATATAAATATGCCATATCTTTTTTTATCCATTCTTCAGTTGGTGGTCATTTGAACTGTTTCCAAGATTTAGCTATGACAAATTGTGCTGCTATAAACATGGGTGCACATATTTTAATCGTGTTTAGTACATTCATGTATCATTTTAATCAAATAGACATATGTAGGAGGTTCTCTGTATCCCTGTACCTGTTCTATTATTTTGTATTATTTTTCTGTTGGTTCTTGCTAGTGTTTTGTCTTTCCTGACTCACAATTCATTGTTCTATCCTGTTCCTTATCCACCAAAAACAACAATGTTACAAAACATGATTTCAAATATGCAATTCTTTGATTTCCACTCCAGAAAGAGCAATCTGTCAGGAAAGAAAGCTTCCGGTTTTCACAACTTCTTATCCCTGGTAGCACGACTGTGCTGAATGGGCTGCTGGTTGCAGCTCCAAAGCCCAGGCTAAAAGTTCGTGGAATCTCATTTTTCTTATTCAAGTCTCAGTTGTTTCTTAGGAATATTTTTTTCTCAGCATGTTGAATTTTTTGGTTGATTTCCAGAACCCTGAAATGACTTTTTGAAAATTCTATCCAGTTGAAATTATTTTCTAGGTGAAAGGATTTGTCCAACTCTTCCTCTGCTGTAATGGGATTCCTGCCATAAAGACCTCACTGTTTAAATTACAGGCTTCAGCAATGTATCAACATGCAAGGAGAAAACAGAAGCAAAGTTAACACAAAAACAAAGCCAAACACCAGGGAAGTGCAGATACCCATTTCACACCCATCATCGGGGCCCAGGAAAATTACTGTGAAGTGAGTGATATTTCTCTAAGTCATAGAACACTTTGATATAAACATTATATTTACATCTTAAAAGAAGGAAAATTCCAGATGCCTAATAATTTATTTAATATACATGGCTACTTTTAATATCACATATACTTACTGATATTGGGTTACTTAATGTCTCCGAAAAGATACAGTACTTACATCTGCATTTTGGTGAACTACAATTCTTTTTTATAACCTGAAGGATTAAAAAAACCCTAGGTGTCATTCTTAATGACTTCAAATCTGTTCTACAAAATAGCTAATACCACTGTAGAGTGGTAATTATTCAGTCCTGTGGTGTTCAAAATATTTTATGACTCTCTAAACTTCTATTCAAACTTTCATATTATCTATTTATATTAATTGGCATTTTAGAACAAGATTAAAAGAATTATCCAGGAAGTAATCATACTTATAGAATAAATCATCAATATTTTATCCTTGGACATAGTAGAATATAATTTTATAAAATCCTAAAGCAAGCCGGGCATGGTGGCCCATGCCTGTAATCCCAGTACTCAGGAGGCTGAGGCAGGAGGATCATCAGGAGTTTGAGACCAGCCTGGGCTACAAAGTGAGCTCAAGGCTGGCCTGAACTGCATAGCGAGACCCTGTCTCAAAAAGACAAAGAATAAATAAATAAATAAATAATTAAAAAACCCTAAAAATCCTAAAGCATCTTTTTTTTTTACTTTAGTCTAATAAATTTAATAGCAAACATCAATTTATTTTAGTATATTATTATGTATTTCTTCTTCGTAGCTCTTATACCTTACATTGTAAATTGTCAAAATTTACACAAACATGCATGCACTCACACACATAGTCATGAACATACCTTACAGAAAAGTTTGTCTACTCTAAATTCCAAGTGATATCACTATAAAAATAAAAGTATTGGGAGGATAGAAAAATAAAATTATGGAAGGTGAGAATATTTCCTATGGGAACTTGTTCATTTTAGAGCAGCACTACAGTATCTTTGATTGGCTAATTCCCAACATAATACCAGTTTGCCACTGGGCAGAAACAAAGTCAAAGACAAAGATGAAAATCTTTGGAAAAAAGTGTAAATAGAATAACAATTAGTTCCCACTTCATAAGTGAAGAGGAGAGATTTTAGACACAAAAGTAGAGGCTCCTGGAATGTTTGATTTCTCAATCAAAAGAAAAAATACGTTAAACTGATGTAAGGACAATCTAAAAACATACAAAATTTCTTATAGTTTGTTCCATTTCAATGAAATCTAGCATCCACTAACCATCTACAACTTACATATTATTTATTGTGTTCTATTGCTCCTGAAGTTCTTCTGTGTTACACATGGATAAATCATCACACTCATGAAAGCTATTTTTAGGTTGCTCACCATTTTAGCTACTTTCTCATTTCTGAAACAAAATGCCTGACACTCGAAGTTAAAGAACAAAGATTCCTTTGCTCCCAATTTGTAGGGGTTTCAGTCCATAGTCAGCTGACTTCAAGGCAGAGTGGCACCACAGGAGAAACAGTCCATGGCAGGCCAAGCAGAATTCAGTGAGCAGCAAGCAGGGAAGCCAGGCTCCCTTTCCCTTCTCTCCCACCCAGGCTAGATCTTGTTTGGGTGGCATCTCCCACACCACAGGTGGGCCTTCCTATTATGCACACTCAGAACTATGCTAAACTAACCAGTGTACTGATTTAGTAGCATACATCCTTAATTCCAGTATCACACATCCTAGATCCAGCCAGCTCCAAAAGCCCCTGTTATGAACGCATGAGGTTTGAGGACCCAGCTACTCACAAGCCATAACACTCACCAAGCCAAGTTTGCACACTGTCTTAAGTATTTTCTTTTGCTATTGATGTTTTAATGCATTTATTTATTTGTTTTATTTGTTTATTTTTCTTTTCCCCCATTCAATTAAAATTTGATGTGCTGTGATTGATTTTTTATCCACAGTCCATTTTCAACTGTGATTCAATTATCCATCATTATTTGAGAAACTATTAACAAATGAATTTTACAATGCAGTCTAAAGGCATAAAATGTGTTAAATCACAGTTTTTGTAAAGTGAAAACTCTGAAAGCAATAGGTAAAATATATTGGGCAGCCAATCAGAGTTTGAATAGCAAATGGTCCAAGCTTTAAAATATTGTTTATGCCTTTTTGTATAAAATACCCAGTTTAATGAATATTGCGAGATGATCAAAAGTTAGAAGTACATCATTTCCACTAAAATGTATGTGATCTGAACTCTGCAGCTGATTCTTTGTTCAAATGGATCACAGTGCATAGGAGTATGAGACCGAGCTTCTCAGAAATCCATAGTAAATCTGCTATAGCTGCATTTGCTTGGTTTTGGTTCAAAGTCAAGTACAAAAAACAGTTTTCTCTCTATTTTTATTTTGTCATTTATTTATTTTTCTTTACAATAATGTGTAAATTTACTTTATTTTTACTCTTTATATAATAATCTCAGATGAAAGAGAAATTTGATTTCTAAAGTCAAATTTATTTTTTGTTTTTGTTTTTCTTCCGGTACCAGGAATCAAACTCACAACTTTGTGCTTGCCAGGCAGGCCTTATGCCGCTGAGCTAAATCCCCAGCCCCTCTAAAGTCAAATTTAAATGTAGATGTACTATTTGTTTTAAGAAAAAATTAGAATGATGGAAAATTCTATGTATTGTCATTTAAGTTTAGGATATTTTCAAAATGTAGTTTTCTCTTTATTGACTAGTAAAATAAGTACTTGTCATGATGCTTTGGTTGCAGAGTATAAAATAATGCCTTTGTCACAGTGTGGCTTAGATGAAACTGAGATGAAAAGGAGGAAGGCTCCAAAACTGTTATATTTTGGGAGAAAAAGGAGTGGGCTAATCTGACCCTCCTTCCAGCAGGACATTTGTCCTCTTACAAGGAGTGTAGTCAGCAGACAGATTCTCTTTCACTTCCTGCAGTGTATGGCTTACCTACCAAGGTCTGTATCCTTCCAGAAAGAAATATGTGTGTCCTGGTGAGGTGGGATGTGAAAGCTTGGTGTTTTGTTGTGCATGAGCTCAGTTCTACCCCTCCATTGGCCTGAGCCTGCCCCTTCTCTTCTTTCTTCATAGGCCTTTCTCCAATAAACGACTACAGCTCAAACTCATTGTCACAAGAGTGTACTGGAAAATGTAAACAGAGTCTGAGCAGTGTCAATGATTTATCTGTGGCAAGGGCCCTTTTATGAGAAGTAAATCTACTCTTCCAGCTTTATATCTGCTCCCAGTGACAAAAGAATCTTCAGAGCCTCCATGCTGCCTGTTGTGCACCTTGTAATATGCTAGAGGGCACAGTTGTTCTCAAAGTATAAGCCCTATGTTTAGATCAAAGGGCTACTTCATTTTGAAAAGATGAGCGTCTGCAAAGCATATAATTTCAAAATTTGTATTTGTGAGTTATTCAGTCCCTGAAACCAAATAATTGACACTCATCATTTAAGAATTTCAATTTGGTTTACAGTTTTAAGGGACTGAGTCACATTTGATTGGCTCTGAGGCAGTGCTCTCACAGCAGAAAGGATTATCAGAGAAAAAATGTCTCGCTCACTCCAGCTGGGAGGCCAAGCAGGGGATGAGGACACAAACAACCAAGAGACTTCACAGTGTACCTGAGTTCATGTAGTGAACTCATTTCCAAAAGCGAACTTATAAAAATAAATACATGACAAAATGAAAATAAAGACAGAGAAAGCTCTGTGTTTTTGTCCTTGACTTTGAACCAAAGTGAACTGAGTTCATGTAGTGAACTTATTTTACAAAAGTCAAATGTGTAGTGAAGACACATCTAGAAATGTGATTTACTAATCCCCTGGTGAACTCCCAACACCTGATTTTACCTGTCTTACAAGGTTACCAGCATATACACTCTTCAGAAATGATCTTTTTTTTTGGTAGGATAGCTTTTTGTAATTTCTGAATACCTTTATGTTGTCTACTATAAATAGTTACATAAGCAAATATTTGCTCTGCATGTAGAAAACATATATTATCTATAGCACATTGAATTGTGTTCTTTTGCATATGACTAAAATTACCTCCCTTACAATAATTGTCCAATGTATTATACCATTATTCAATATATTAACAGTAATGTTTGTATAGAGCTAGACATAATTCTTATTTTCCTCCTAAGCATGTGTATTTTTTACTATAAAAATAATTTTGTGATAGGTATTAATAGAATATTTGCATTTATCTTTCTTAATAATAATAATAATTTCAAATTTAATTTTTGTTGATTATAGCACCGAAAATGTCTCATTTTTGAAATGACAGAAAAGCTGGAAGGTTTCCTTTAACATAGCAGATTCAATCAAGGTAAAGTGCTTGGTATACATTGGACTGTTTCTTAGATGCAATGAAGTATAAAAGAATCATGCAGTATGAAAATAATATATATATTTTCTTTCTAGGTCAAGTTACTTGTGTCCTCATAAATTATCTGTTTTTTATTCTTTCTGATAAATATTTGTAAATCTACATTCAACAAATACATAATATATCAAATTATAGTTTCACTATTTAATCCATAATATTTTCAAATGTGTCTTTGGAAGATATTGCAACTAGTTAGAACTCCAAATATAAATTTAAAGAGAAATATTTATGAGAAAAATACAAATTTCTAAATTTTAAAAATATATTTCACATACCAAAGGGAAATAGTCTTAGAATTTGTTCTAATATATGGTTAGTGCTATTATCATTATTACCATGAGGAATGCAGTGACTTTTGTCATGGAAAACATATTATTAGCAAGTTATTTGTGAAAGATATAAGTTCTTCCCTCAGAAAATGTCATCTGGTGTCGCCACTCAAAATTTCTGTGCTTTGGTAAATGTGAGTGAGAAGCTAAGAGCTTTAAAAATGAAAAAGTGTTCTACAGAGCAATTGCGTAGCAATGGGAGGATTGCTGAGACAGAGATCTGCTCCAGTGGAAACAACTTCACTTTTCACCTTGCTTAAAACTCTTAACACAGAGAGGAAATTAAAACCAATTGAAGTTGCCTGTACACAGATGGACCCACTCATCCCACCCTCCTGGTACGTATGGAAGCCGCAGGAGACTGCTGCTCATGTCCTCCTCTGAGGACAGAGCTATAAAGCCCAAGAGCGAACGGTTCTGCTTCACACACTTCGATAGATATCCGCACAGCATTCCTAACGAGTCGGTGCTTCCTTTCCTTTCTCAGAAAATGACTGTGTGCTAGATTCCTTGCTTCTGCTGTCCTCCGTGGGCCTTTGTCAATGAGCTGCATTTACAGCATGACTGACTGTGAACTTGACCAACATTTCCCTCTCACATGATAGTGTGAAACTGGTCTAGCGAATCTCTTTTCTCCCGCTTCTTCCTTTACAGGCAGGACAGCATCACTGTCTGAACACCACTCTCTTTCTCCTGCTGCTTCCCCGTTTCTCTTTACACGCCTGGCCCCAATATTTTCCTGCCACATCACGTTCCATAATGTTTACCGCTTCTCAGGCGAGCTTATATTCCATCGTGCATCTGCATTCCAGCGCTGACAGAAGTAGTACCCAAGTGGGGGTCAATGCAAACAACAGTAAGATGGGGGTCAGGAACCGGATCGCACGCTACGTGCACTGCACTTTCCGGCACTGCAAACAAATAAACAACACACTCACAAAAAAGCAAAACAAAACAAAACACCCTTAAGAAGTCTTGAGTAGAATGAAAGCACATATGCCCACAAAACGGAATGGAAAACCAATTTCTAATGATTTCCCCAGTGGTGATCTGGCAAAATATACCGTTTGCCACTGTAATTATTTAGGCATAGTATCTACTGGATTAGCAATATCTACGAGGTCAGCTGAGTTAGTTGGTTATTATTAAGTTGCACTGACATCCTAGAGAGTGGTGACTAGAAATTTAAGGTAACAAATAGAGAGGTAAAGTTTATTTATGAGGTATAAATAACTTTCTTTTTCTTTGATAGGTTACAAAAATGGCCTTAACCGACAGGGAAAGAACAAACAAATTGAAGGATAGACTTACTACTTACAGAGGCTTAGTTCCAGCTGAGGGAAGTGTTTTATTATCTTCCCAAGGCTTTTGTTTGAATATTTTGGATTCTGAAATATAGAATAAAACACGTATGAAAAGTTCCCCACATATTTGGTACTTTCAAATCTCTGTGGATCCTTCCTCTCTTATTAGAACTTGTACTTTCTTCTTGAGAGAAGACATTTTGCAGACTACATATGCCCTTTCAAGGTGGCATAATCCTCTTCTCTTGGGTATCTGTGTGCAAACTATGCTTACTTCCAAGCATAGTTAGGCCGAGACTTAGGAATAACAGAAAGACATTCTCCCCTAAATGATTTGGGTATACACTATCAGGAGCAGGTACACAGCATCTGAGGTTAGAGTGGAGGTAGATTTATCAAAGAGACCGTTAAAATGTACTGCTGAATAAGTCCCAATAGTACTGAAAAGTTTAGTAGTGAGGTTAATATTTCTTAATATTGACAATGGATATCAGGAAATATAAATTTCCTATGTGTTATTTCCAAATTAATTCCAACATATGAAAATGTAGTTGTAAATCTATTATGCAACTTTATTCATATTAAAATGGTTTTGGTGGGGGTTGGTACCTGGAATGAAATTCAGGACCTTGCACTTGCCAGATATGTGCTGTGCTGCTGAGCTCCATCCCTAGCCCTAGAGTGGTTTTGATAAATCACGGAGTCTTAGCCTGAATTTATGTTCTAAATATGAAACATCTCATGCATGGTATAATCTAATTCAAAACTACATAAAATTATACTTTAGGAAAAAGCCACAAAAAATGTAGTCTATAATCTTTTCACTGCCAGAAAGTGATTTTTACCATTCCTTATTTTAAAAGAAATACAATTATTATTTTTTTTTTATGGGTTCTGGGCTCTGCAGTCTAGTCAGATGCATCTATAATACTGTGTTCACTGTTGGAAATAAGCTGGTTCTATTACTGCAGAGCTTTCTGATTACTTTGAACGTGAAACATAATATTGATTGAAGAGTTAGTGACAACAATATAATGGCAATAGTAGAAAACAAAGAAATATTTAGTGTATATTTGTGAGGTAATAGGTAAAGTTTGTAGAAGAGTTCTGAGCTGTCCTACATAAAAAGACAGCATGGGAATATTGTTTTGCTTCTGCTGGTTAACACGGTAGTAGGAATAGAAAAATCATGGTTTGTGGAGAAAAAGGAACCCTTCACATTTAGTGGAAGTGTATGTTGATACAACTATTATGGAAATCATTGTGTACATTCCTCAAAAAATTAAACATAAAAATTCCATTTGACCCAGCTATTTCCTTTCTAGCTACTTCACCAAATAGTTAAAGTATCAGACCACAGTGACATACGGGTACCCACGTTATTAGCAGCTCAATTCATAATAGCTAAATATTTGAAACAGCCTACATGTGCATCAACTGATGAATGGATAAAGAAATGTGGAGTTTATACCCAATTGAGAGCTATTCTGTCATAAAGGATAAGCTTGAGTGATTTGTAGGGAAATGCATGCCCTCTGAGACGACAAGGCTAAGTGAAGTAAGTTAGAAACATGAGCTTAAATACACACCATTTCATCTCTCTTATATGAATCACTCAACAGATAAAGTGTGAAATAAAATAATAGCAAAAGAGAGAGAAAAAATGTTATCATAATTTACCATTGACAATGTTTCTAAAAGTGTACACTGATTTAGTTTAATTTTCTTATGTGTTTTATTGGCCCACTAGTCTGGTTGTTAATCTGTATGTATTATAATTAAATTTATGAAGTTTCATAAGATAAATAAATGAATCCAATGTTAGCAAAATAAAAGGTGGTAGAAGAAGGGAAAAAATGGAATTGAACAGTGTCCCATACATGGACCAGTTCCCCACAGTAAATGTAATTATTGTGTGCTGCAAGCATGTACTAATGAAAAATTTTAAAATAATTTAAAAATTTTAAAAAGTAACATAAAATGAAATTCTGCTGGATAGTATTAGAAAAGGTAATTTGTGCCAGCATTTCAACAGACGTGAGAAATATTTCATGAGCAAACACACCTAAGATGTGAAGCTGCCATACCATTTGCCCACTCTGAGTACTTTCTAAAGAAATTCTCAAATGTAAGTTTTTTACATTTTGCCACCTCTAAAATCAGGACATTTTTTACAATAATATTGAATTTTTTGTCTTTTAGCACATCAGAATTCAGAGCATATTTGATAATTGTTGAGATCTTAGATACACCTAAAACAAATAGATAGCTGCAGTATATGCTCTCTTAAACAATTTTATGTGCTTCCTTGTGTTTGAATGGCGGAGACAGAGGAAATCTGAGTATCAGATTTCTCAAATGCTGTCTGCCTCATTGTGATTGCATTACTATAGAAATGGTTTTGATGTATTATCATTTTAAAATGAAATAGGTTCAGCAAGGAGAGTAAAGGTCACATTTATCTAGGTTACTAGAGAAATAGTGGTTTCTTAGACGTTTTACTATGAATTAAAGAGCACATCAATGGAGTGCTGCGTTGATGCTTCTCTCTCAGTTTATCACACATTTGTTTTCCTCATTCCGCTTCATGTGAGGTATGTGCCGCACAATATCTAAGAACTTACAGCATTGCATGAGCTTCTTTTAGGGATCAAACAGTGAAAAAAAAACAAAGAAAAAAAAGAATTTCTACAAACTGACACAGAAACCTTTTTTTCTGTTACAAATAGGTTTAAAAATCAAATAAGATAAAAAATTTAAGAAATTACAAAAGTAAAAGCATTTTAATGCATAATACTCATCGCTTAACATTTTATAATGCCTCACAGTTTGAGATACATTATCAATAGAGCTATGGAAAAGTAGCATAACCCAAGAGACAGAGATTTAGAAGAAAACTATACAATAAAGAAAAAGGGAATATAGATTTTTGTGTTTTTTAGAAATGAAAAGATGAACTATTAGAACCACAGAAACATATGACTGCACTTAAAATTATTGAGAGGCAAAGCTCCGTATTGAAATAAGATTCCAGAAAAGTCTATGAGGGGGTGTAGTTCAAGGATGGAGCATTTGACTGCAGAAAAATCTATGATTTTCTTTTAATCATAGTATAAGTAATGGGAAATAACAGGCAGATTTTTATGATAAATTATGAATAGAGAAAATATATACTACCAAAAATAAGGATGAGAAAAGAAAAATCTAAAATATATGTTTTGAGTCATTCTTTCATGAGTTAAAATTTTTCCTCATATGAGGATTTTTCACTATTTAATTAGATTGTAATGTGCTAGTTTGGAAATGTTAGTCAATGTAAGACTTAGAAGGAGATATGTCATCTCTTCAATCTTCCTTTTGTGGCTTGTTTTATTCTAACTGATAATTGCTAGGTACAGGATTTGAATGTAGACAAAGTTTCTAAAAACTACAAAGTGCAAGTCTTTAAGTATCATCCTAAGAATTTTCTATACAGTATTCTCTTATTGTGGCTTCTCAAACAAAGCAATAGACTTGTTTTTCATTGTTCTAGTTTATTTTTCACAAAACGCCCATTTTGTTGCTGATTGTCTCATGACCTCCTCGAGGATAATAAAACATATTCTAGTATTGACAAGTCTCATGGACCATAGTCACCTTTTTATATTCTTATCAACACATTTTACCTCTTAAGTTTAGTTATGTTTATTTTCTGGTGAAATATAACTAAAACAAAGCCCTGATAATTAAAGAAAAATAAAAACAGATGAGTTCAATGATTAACAAAGATTTTTATTTACATTATCATTTTCTATTAAAGCATTCAAGTCATTAAAAACATTGAAAAAGGTACAGAAACATCAACCCAATCCTTTAAAAATTCCTTGTAGCATATTTTAATCTAAAAGCATACCCTAAAATCTCCCAAAGATGTTTCAGTCGAGTTATCATTTTCTAAATGATATGGTCCTTTGTGTTTATAGGAGACAATATATTATTTTGTCTAATAACTTCACAAAGGAGAAGCTTAACTTATTGTACAGAAGTTTATTAAGCATTTTAAGAAGTAAGTATGATATAATGAGTTCTCCAGATAGGGATACTTCTGTTTTTGCAACTAGATTTTCAAATAACAAGGTGGCAAACTGCCTCTGAGCAAAAAATACACATTCAATGACAGCATTTCTGAACTCAGTTGCATACAGATGAGTATTGCTTCTGACTCACCTGTTAGTGAGCTAACAAGAAACAATAGCATCTGAGAACACACGTGCTGTGTAGATATAAAGACAGTATTAAATTTAAAATCTTTATTTTCCCTCTTATGGTGGCCAGTATTTTAAACTAAGCAAAATCCAGAGTTGTCTTATATGAGTGGAAATCTTTATAAGACCAGGCCATTTATCCCAGTCACTACATCATTTTTAAATACTATTCCAACATTATATTTAAATAATCAAGACTCTGATGTCTCTGCTTTTAAAAGTTTAAGTTCTTACATTCATTTAACACATTTTTGCTAAATCTTGACTTTCATTTAAATGTATGTTTAGTTATACCTATACTGTAAATCTATCTAATACCACTATATGACAGCTGTTCCATTCTTAGTCCATCATATTACACTTTGCACATTCTATCTAGAGAATTTCTCTCTGAATTCAAGATAAAGTGTTAAAAGTGTTCACGTCTCTCATTAACCTAGGATGTCTGCCTTCTTTTCCATGTAGTTTGTTGAGTGACATTTGGTTGTCATATAAATGTATGAATGAGTACATTGATAAATATCACAATCTACTAACAGGAAAGTAGATTAAATTTATAGTTATGACATAGTACCACATATTAGGTACTAGCAAATAAATACACAGAAATTTTTTATGTTATAAAGTGATCACATAAATTTAAGTTTAGATTTTTCAGTATATTCAGGCCCTGAGACTAAAGATGAGGTAAAGTTAATTATGTTATGCCAGCCCAATTTTCTAATATTTGCTCCAACTCCATCATTTCATCACTGAAGAAAAAGAAAAAAAGACCCTAGTAGGAACAATTTCCTGTAAGACCTTAGCACCATGAAAATTGTTATTATCATGAAATCGACTATAAAGAGACAGCTGACTGCAGATAAAGCA